TCCAACTTTTGTTTTCTAGGGGTATATATGCTACCCTTAAAAGATTTTTGAGACTTCGATAACCCTGTTCTTATTTAAGTATTCTTTTGAATTCCATGCAACTTTTTTGTCGATTACCCTTGCAGTTTCGATTCAAGCGGATGGTATAACTAAACTATTTAAGAAAATATGCTGAGTCCTATCGGGTACTAACAAAGAAGATGAGGATATTCCATAGACTTGAGGATCATACTTTTGGGAAAGTAGCCGTTGTCGAACAGAAGATTTATCGAATGTCGAAAAACTTTTGGTCGAAAAGCGTATTTGTCGAAAATGATTTCATCGAAGGATAATTTATTGATTCAGCAAATTATCTGTCGACCAGCTTATTTTCCATAAATTGTCCTTTCGACAAATTTTCTTTCGCCTAAGCCTAATCATCTGTGTAGACACTGTAACACTGTTACGTAGACTCTTATAGAAGATAAGAGTAGAGCACAGTTGCGCTGCAAGTATAGCAATTATCAGCATAATTGCGTTGTAACTGTACTTACGACGCAAGTCATCTCGTGTTGAAATCACAGCTATACGAATAGTTAAAACTTTTGAATTTTTTCATTTTATCAGCTTGTTAGTAATCCTTTTTTCACTAACACAAAAAGAAAAAGAGGGAAAATGCCAATGTTAGTTTTTGTTGTCATCATTTGGAATAAACACTGCCTTTTTTCGTACAGCAAAGCATAGGATGATGCACACAACGTATAAATACGTTTTGCACGTTTCTTTTTTCCATGAATGGTCGTTGTAGCTGCTGGTATATCAGTTGCGGATATAGCAAATGAATTTAAAAGATAAAGTTATATTCGATGAGAATTGAGGGTGATTTACATCGTAAGTACAGTTACAACGCAACTATGCTGATAATTGCTATACTTGCAGCGCAACTATACTCTACTTTTATCTTCTACAAGAGTCTACGTAATAGTGTTACAGTACCTACACAGACGATTGGGTGAACGCAAATTTGTAGAAAATAAACTCATAGAAAGATAATTTGTCGAATCGACAAATTATCTTTCGACGAAATAATTTTCGACATACGACAAATCGCCTGTTAGGCAAGTTGTCTTTCGACCAACGGCTCCCGTCGCATCAGATAAAGACCCTGGACTTAACTTATAGAACATGAAGCTAAAAAAGGAGATCTAACTTATCATAACAATAACAGTAAAAAAGAGTACACGTTGTATTACTTTTCAAGAAGAAACAATAGTCAGAACTTAAAAGCTTGAAATCGTCATCCCTTAAAAAATGTTTTGTAAGTTTTGTCACAGTTCAATTAGACGGTTAATTTTTTTCTCTTTGTAGGTCGCAAGTCAGCACTGAAGTCTCAATAAAAAATAAAAATTCGATTTTTCATGAAGAACAAAGATTATACCTTTTTCAGGTATTGATCAAGCAACACATAATTTATGGGAAAATTGTAATTTAGCATGTGATTATACTCGTTGTGAGCAATGTTCGCCGCTTTGCTGGCCTTTCAATTCAATATACTATAGCCCGTAACGATGTTGATGTTCTAGAATAAACCGTGAGCAATAACATGATGTAAATAAATCCTCCACTTTCCTTTTTTCTCTTATAAGTGGTGTACCTGGAATCATTGTTATTTTATCGGTAATTAGAAATTCTTTCTTATAAAACAAATTTCACTAAATATTAATACAATAAAGAGTTTTATCTTACTTTATTCTTATACACTTTGTGAGACATTTTTCTGTTTCTTCTACCGAATACGCAGAAACAAGAAAGAAAAACGTGTCACCGGTGGTGTTTTTACTCTATGAGAAAACTAATGAAACTAAAGTCGCTGCGCATCGACAGTTATGATTGTTTGCATAATGAGTGTGTAAATTGTTTGACGATGTACACAGAAAATGCATTCTCGTCGAATCACTCTCAATCACTGAACATAATCGAAATTCTGTACCAAAAAGATACAGTCATACTTTGCATTTTCGTAATCATCAATGTATCGATGAATTAATCCATCTACAGTGATCAGAATCCCGCGAATAGTTTAACTTCATTATGGTTGATCCATATCACCAGAAAAAAAATAAAGTTCGTTTAGAGTTGCTGAAAAGTGGTTTTTCGTATTCAGCACACTCGATAACCCAGAAGATTTTCTATTTTTGGCTCGGGGTACTTTCGAAAGTTTAGGAAAAATTTTCAAATTAGTATTATTTTTCCATGGAAAACTTTTTGCGCCATTTTCTTTCAAAATTTTTCTTAAACTTTCGGAAGTACCCCAGTCAAANAAATCACTTTTCAACAACTCTAAACCAACTTTATTTTTTTTGTTCCGGTGATATGAATGTCGATTTTCATCATAGGTCACATCATTAAAAGACGATGAACGATAGGCAAGAATATATAGAATGTCAAATAAGTCTAACTAATAAAATTTGTCAATTATTTGAATGACATTCCGATGACTGAAACAATATTGATCAAGAGTTAGTGGAACATAAAGTTACTCAAGAAATATGCTTTGTTATATGTACGTTCTTATTACAGAAAATAGCTGATGCTGAAACGATGAAAAATGAATATTGTAAGTGGACAAATCAAAGGTTATGGATCGTACTTAGTGACTTGGCAATGTTTGTTTTCAGAAGAGTATTGAGAAACCTGGTAAAACCTGATATTACTCGGATTCGTAACGAATGAACTGAGATACAATTCATATTTTAATTAAGTATCTAGGTTGAGAAACCAATATTTCTGCGAAGATATTCGTTTCTTAACTCACGAGGGATGGCCCCCGACTGTCCAATCGCTTTTGACGTAAAACTTAGTGAACAATGGGTAACCGAACATGCTGCTCCCAATATGACGATAGTTTTTGCCAATAGGCCTCCAGAGACCGTTTTTCTGGAAAACCAGTTTTTCAGAAACTCTAAAAAATAACCAACACCTTTCTTAATGAGGCAGGATTGTAGCTCGCAGGTTTCTGATTAAAGTGAGATCTCTTCCAGCTCTCCACGGTCTTTCTTTGCAAAGTTATAGAATTTACACGAAAATTCCCAAATTAATTTGTTCCTTATTTCTGTAGCTTTGAGCTGATAATGAACGTTTATGGCTTTTCTTGTAAATTCTATAACTTTGCAGAGAAAGACCGTGTAGAGCTGGAAGAGATCTCATTTTAATCAGAAATCTGCGGGCTACAATCCTGCCTCATTAAGAAAGGTGTTGGTTATTTTTTAGAGTTTCTGAAAAACTGGTTTTCCAGAAAAACGGTCTCTGGAGGCCTACTGGCAAAAACCATCGTCATATTCGGAATCAGCATGCTCGGTTACCCATTATCCACTAAGTTTTACGTCAAAAGTGATTGGACAGTCCGGGGCCTTTCCTCGTCAGATACATTTTATAAAATAAGGGCTTCACGAATTTCTCAACTGAGATACAAATTTTCACACCTGTTTTTCAGAATTTTCACAATTGTTTTGAAATACGGTAAAATACCATGTTAAGTAGTATCCATCGACATGAAAATACACAATATCTGACCATGTAATGTGGCAATAATTCCTCAGATAGTCAACAGAGATACATCATATACCTAATTTCATTTCATTCACTATTGAATAATAGATTCCTAAAGTACACCGTACCCCCTTGCACAATAGCGCGTTCTAACACGCATGTCAAAATTGTATCTCAGTTGAGAAACTAATATTTTCGCAGAAATATTGCTTCCCAACCGAGATATTCTCAACTGAGATACTTGATTAAAATATAGGTTGTATCTCGGTCGAGTCCAAACCCTCAGATTAACTCATTGTTGCCTTCTTACAGGCAATATTAGAATAGTCATAACAGACAAGGAAAAGTCCTCCAGTGTTCAATCGCTTTTCGAGTTAAACATGCATACAACTGTAGAAGATCCTCGAATATGGGTTAGTACTTTTTTAGTTTATACCGCAGAATTCGTTTCATGTGTTTCTTTTATCGTGTTTTAAAAGACGGCAGGATACGTCTATATTAAATGTAATTGGAAAAATTATGAATTAAGAATTTAACACTTGATCTTGTATGCGAGATATATTTAAACGATACAATTTGTCAAGATTCAAATGATAATAGGTACAATATAATAGGCACAATAATGATATGTAGATATGACATATAATAGTCATTTACTTCTTTTTTATTTATTACAACTACTATGTGAAATATTACAAACATTTTTTAAATTGTAGGTAAAAGCATTTTCTTCGTACTAACTTCATTTATTTCTAAACGTTTTGATTGACAGTTCAATCTTCCTCAGTGGATACAAATATTAATTAAATTAATTAAAATTACATAAACAAAACAATTTGAACAGAAAAAATAATTCAGTTTGCACTACAGTATATGTTCACTACACAGGATGTCATGTGATGATTAATTATCTAAAAGAAAAAATAACAGAGTTGTCCTGGCCTTCTTCAGGATGTTCTCTTGTTTTAGGAAAACAGGAGCAAAGTTCAATAACGAGCGAATTTAGAAAGATATAAAGTTCAAATTGTCAGTACTATTAGCAGACTATTAGCAAAAGGTCACTCGCCTGTACTGTGATGCTCTCCGCTAAACAAACAGGTAAATAAAAAGACATAAACTTAAGAACAAAACAAAAGAGTAAAAGTTTATCGGGTCGGGTTTGGATTACGTTTTCTTAACCCGTGCAGGTCTCTACTCTATATTTTGCATGACTTACATAATTTTTATCGTTGTAAAAAAATTATTGAGAGATTATTTATTCTAAGACATCTGTTTGTTACGTGTTGCACTCAGTATTTTTCGACACATGAATAGTGAAAAAGAATAGACAATAGAAACAATTTAATTATCGATTAATGGTCACTGATGTTTGGAAGATAAGTCGTTTATAATAACCATCCTATGAAATATCACTTGTTGAACCAGTATATGTAGTTCCAGTATTCTCAAACATTTTTCTTTAAAAACTGATCATGAGTCAGCTAAAATTTATCGTTATTCCAGTTGTGCGTGTACCTGCTGTGCATTTGGTATGTGCATCATACAATGGTGAACGAAAACACGACAAAATTAAAAATACACATGAAAATCTTAATGAACAAGGATTCTACGATTTTATTGTTGTTGGATCGGGGCCAGTCATGTGGCAGCGTGTTATATTAATGAGCAACCCCGGCTCGACAGAGAACAATATTGGATTAAGACATTAAAAACACAAATTAATAATAATCATTGATATTATTTATTGGCACTACATTTCACAACGATCACATTGGGCACAAATACACAGTCCTGCATATCACGGTGTCTACCGCTGAAACACATGAGTGTGGCGGACGTACATACACAAAGTCATGTGGCAGTGTGACGGACGTACATACAAAGAGACATCTGAATGGTGTGTGACGGACGTACATACACACAGACATTTCAACTTATGCTGTGGAAATGAGAAAAGTGCAGATACGTAGCCATCTCTGCGAAAGTAGTATTTATGACGCACTGATCACTATCAACCAGATAAGCCGTATCTGCTAATAAGTCATCATGCATTTCACATAAATCGATGGAAGGTGCACTATCTGAAATCATGACTGATCGTAAGGTTTCCAACAGTCCTGAAAAAACTGATTTGTTTTAAAACGGCTTGTTCTAATAAACTCTCAGAAGCACAAAGTATTTTAGAAGCTAAAGGATAAAATATTTTGGATCAAAAGGAGACGTTCTGCGGCTCTGGGTGATATTTGAAGTAGAAGTTAAGGTACCGGAAATTCAAAAGGTTAGTGATAAAATGAATCTGGTCGAATTATACATGATTGGATAGAGCACGTCGAGCTGATCAAGAATATCACCTTTAAAGATTTTTGACGTCAACTGTACAGCAGAAAACTTGTAAAAACAGAAAAACGTGAAAAACCGACTGTTTCTGAGAAACC